TAATGGTTCATTACAGTTTTGTTGGCTCTAAAATAACAGTACAACTTTTACATTAGATATTTGATTATAATATCATGACTAGCCAGTAAGGTTGCTGTAAAATCCAACCTGTATATGTAAAAAAAAGTTGTACTATTATAGGGTCAAAGGAATTGGGAGCTTTGTCTGAGTACAAACTTCTCATGGATTTAAGGATTTTCTAACAAAACTTCATGGATAATCACCACCAAGACAAGCTGGCTCTCTCCTTTATGTTTTTGTTTACATGTGAGGATAGTGATATTTTGTCCCATGGTTGGATTTGTTTTGTTTTCTGATTTCCTCACTAATCTGACTAAAGTGTTTGCCAGTTGATAAATAACCAAGATGCATCCTGGTTCACTCGCTCTCCATTCAGAGAAGGTCCAAATGATAAATGCCTGCTGTCTGCTGGTGCTTTTGCTTACCCCCAAAATCCCTGTAGGAAACAGCAGAAGGCAATTTGGCGAAATGCCGTGGTTTGATGTAGTTATCAGAATTTCTGCCACTGAAAGATGGCACAATACTACCCAGTGGAATAACACCACTTCTGTCATACACCAATCACCATTTCTGGTGCTGTCATAATAATCCTGATGCCCACGTGAAGGGTGATATTTCTACGTCTGGCACTAAACGAAAGAAAAAAACTCCAAGTCTGGCAACTTTTATGAAATATACAGGCTGGATATTGCAGCAACCTTACTGGCTAGAAAGGAGAGAAAGAATCACCTTTTCCATTTAATATCTAATGAAAGTTATTTCAAACAACAAAGAATAATACAGTTCTGTTCTAAACATGGTTCTTCATGTTTCATATGTATTGGACTGAAACATTCTTGATAGGTCATTAAGTCATGCCAGGTTGATTTATGATGTGACAACTTACCAGAAGAGAGTACAATGCATCAAGAAGTTACATTTCACTTAAATCTGAATAGACTGCATCTAATTAGTACTAAATAGAAAATGGAAAGTAGGTGACTTATCTCTCTGTATCAGCCTTCCCCAGGTTGGAAAGATTATAAAGTTTTCTTAAATGTTTTGGTCTCTCCATACCTTCCATTTTCTTCTTAAATTCAGTTGTACACTTCCTACTGAAACTGCAAAAGAAATCCAACTTCTTAATGCACTGCATATTTTTCTGGAAAGTTGAGTCATATCATAAATCAAATTGGCTTGAGTTACTGTAATGCAACTGAAATGCACAGAACTGTACTTTCAACTGGATGTAGGCAATTAATTTGAAAACTGAGTGCTGTTTGTGAACTAAATTGGCTTAGTGGATGATCAGGAAGAAGGCAACTAACTGGGAATATCAACTTAATAATTGACCTCTTTCTCTTGTAATCTATTTCTGTAAATTTCCATTTACAAACAGAACAGTTTAGAAGCTATTATATGCTAAGATCAGGCATTAGATTTCATTGGATTGGACAAAGCTTTTTATTCTGGGACCCTACAAAAGTGTTGGCCCATTGTCTCACTTTAAGTACCTGTGAAATGCTGAGATACCACTTTTCCCAGGACAATTAGGCCTAATTTGAATTAATTACCATTCAGGGTATAGTGTGTAAATGACTGTCTCCACTGACCTTCCTTCTGCCTGTCTCCTTCCCTCCCCCACCACCCGCTGACCTGTTTTGACCCTGGCAAAAAAGCCAGGACTGTCACACCCAGGATAAACTTGATCTCTGTTTTTAGAGGACTGGGATAATGATTACTTTTAGATAAGACTGAGGAAGCTTTGTGGCTTGCCCCAGTGCTAGTGCAGGTTTATTACAATGTATGATTGGCATAAGAGAGACAGTAAAAACCAGAATGTGTGAAAATATTAACTTGCTTGTCTGGAAAACCCATCTGATGAGTGAAATCACAGAAGTAAATGGTTTAAATAGGGATAAATATCCAACTTCCTAAACCCATCTGTTATAACTTCCATAGGAAATAATTTCAAAAGCTTATAAAGAGAACATCTATTTTAGAGATGGGCAACACATTTATTCCTACCAGCAAATCAAAACATGATGACTAATCTGGTGCAGAACTGTTCAGATCACCAGCTGCCATCTACCTTAGGCAGAACCATGCTTCATTTTATATATGAAGCATATACCAAAGATGGTGACTGACAGAAATAATCCATCCTGGAATTTTCTACTCCAAATGAAATTCAAACAAAAATGTCAAAGTCAATAAATAAATAAATTCATAAAACCATTGTGCAAATAAAACAAACACAAAATAAACAAAAAAACCCTAAACTGAAAACTGTAAAAGCCCATTTTGCAACAAGAACTACTGTATGATCTTGGAATAATGAAGTAGCAAGATTCAAAGTGTAATACATTTTTTTTAAATCCTTGTTTTCTGACTCTGTTTTTTCAAAAGACATTTTCATCCAGAAGAACAGGTTGAAATATAATGTGCTAAGAGTTTATATGGTTCATGGGGACCTTGAGCGAAGAAAAACCGTTAAACTACAGATTGTATTCAGCTGTTAGACTATATAGGCATGTACAAATATACCATACAAGATGCATGCTTCTAGGACACAGGTAAGTATTTTGATATTAAGTAACTGACCCTTCCTTTACTTTTGTTCTATCAGTATAGACTGGGGGGCTGTAACATTGGTGCAACGGATATAAGAACCCTGAGAAAGTGGCCTTATGCTCACTGAACACTAGCAAGAACAATATAGGCACACATTAAGTTATTAAAAGAACAGAGATTTTTTGTTTATTTTTGGTAATAATTATTATTATTCAGTTAGACATGAATTATAATGTTTTGCTGCCATTTTAGTGCATTGATAATTAAATTCCCTGTTAATATACTGCATGTTTATATACAATAAATCTACTTGCTGTCTCCATACACTCGTGTGTAGTAAGGGTTGGTATACTTACCATCTCTCAATTCACAAATCTAATCATTGAATTAAATATTTTGATAAACATCATATTATACAATCATTATTTTAAGTAGCCCACTATAATTTATGGCTCTTTCAATCAATCAAATAAAGGGAGACATTTTTTTCAGTAATGATGACCTCTAACAATATAAAACAGTTATGGGATAGCAAAAGTCAAGCTGACCACAGTGCATTCTTACAAAGTAGCCACATGTTTGGCAATTGAATAACTTAAGGTTTGGTATGATCTTAAGAGATGGAATCATGACTCAAGGCTCTAGAGCAGTGGTTCTCAACTGTTTTATGCCCAAGGCACCCTTCAAAAAATTCCAGCTCTTAGCTTTTCACAGGAAAAAAAACCTTACAGTAATTTTTCTGTTGCAAAGAGCTCAAAGTCCACAACAAGTCAGAATGTGTTTGATACTATATGAAATCTCTTCTTTTATCTTGTGATCTACATGTAGGTATTTACATACAGAACAGTGCTATTATTGCCTGGTACCCTGGTTAAAGATCACAGCTTTAAAGAATCCAAAAATAGAGGATGAGTGTGATGGGAGGAGGGGAGGGCGGGGATGAACCACACAGAAACCTACTATTTTACTTGCAAGTTCCCCTGCTGTATTTCTCCCGTGAAATAAGGGAAGGATATTCATCATTTATTGGTGGTGTTCTAATTGCTCATGTTCCATCTTTATCAACTTACAAATCATATTTACCTTTCAAACAAATGACCTAAGTCATCATAACTTGACACTAGTTTCACATGATGTAATTCCATTAATCTTAATGGAAATCTGTATATAGCTGGAGTATGATGCACTGATGAGCCAGGGTCAAATTCTGCTTAAGAAATTCTAAATGGTATACAACATACTTAAGTTCAAACCCCAAATTTTAGATGAATAAAACTCGTAAAAGGAATTTTATCTGAAGTGAATCATTCGGGATTGAACCCTTTAGAATCGTCTATTAACTAAACATTTCATTTATATATATATATATATATATATATATATATATGTATATCTATATGGATAAAAAGATATATATATATATATTTCAATTTCATATATACAGATTTCAATTTCAATTTCTAAGAAGCACACACCATGACATTGATTGTTGCAGTGTAATAGTTAAATAATTCATGAAATTCTCCTTGGCAGAGAACAATAATCTATTATTGAAAATAAAAATAAACAAATTCAATATTTAGAATATTTCTTAATATAAGAATAACGCTTAGCTATGGATAGGTGTTATTTTCTATTAGTTTCATTTTTTATAATTTAACCATGATTTTGAAAACTATAACCAGGTTTCAAAATTTCAGAGGATACAAATTCCCAAGTAAAAAAATCAGAGGTAGGCTTTCGCTGAACATTTTAGTGAAAATATAGTGCATACTATTTGGTGCCCTCTAGTGTACTCCAAAAGCAAAACCTGCACTTTCCAAGAATGTTATAATTCACAGATAAAAATGCACCTTAGTAAACTCCCCCACATTCTCAACTCTATTAACTCCTCTTCATTTTAAGGACTGTGATTATTTTATTTAAAAAAACTCGACAGAGGAACCAATAATTAAATAAAATAAAAAAGACAGGACATGCAAAGCTTTAGACTTTCTTCTTATGTAAGCAAAAACAGAATAAGCCAGATCATTTATGGTCTGATACCAAGACTACTGAAGTCAATAGGAGACCTGCTGTTGACTTCAATAGCCTTTGTTCCAGGCCCTTAAACATACATCCACGGACCGTTAAGAATGATTGGATTAGTGATTTTGGCTCATTTTCACCTCACCCCCACAGTTCCAATTGATTGGTGTGGTGGCTGGTTAGTGATTTGGCAAATGCCATTGTGTATAGCAGAATAGAAGCAATAAAAACTTCAGAAATAGCAGTTCTGTCAAAATTACTTGCCTCACATTAGGAAGTTAGAACTATTACGCACCGATTAATAATAATTGTGTTTAAATCGGTCAAATGCTGTTGCAAATGAAAGATGAAGCACTGCGTGAAGCCATGCTAAAATGGATAGAAGGATGGTTACTTACCAACAGGGCGAGCTGTAGACATTACAATGGTGTGGTGAGAACATAAAAAGGAAATTAAAAAAAGAAAAGAAAATCTGTCAGAATGCATGACGTGCAATGTTACGTCTAACTGTGGACACTTCCATGATCTCTCAACTCACAAATGTCAGGCTCAGTAAGGTATCCAGGTTATTGTTCAAGAATCCTTTTAATTGCATATTTTCGGACATAGCATCCGAACAAGCTAGCGTGAACCAATCATATGAGTAACATGTTTTATATGTTCGCATGTTGTCATCAAGTATCTCTGTTAATGCTTAACTGAAATAAAATGGCTTTGCATTAGTACAACCTTCTAGCCCCTGATAAATACAACCATTCAAACCACAGTCTGGCAAATGTCATGCCAATAAATGGAAGCCATCACTGTCTGATCTAAATACCAATTGAATTTTAAGCATGGTCAGTCAGTACTGTAGTAAGGAGAAGCCCAAGACACTGTTTTTCTTATCCAGCAATAGGCATGGAAGCTTATATCACATCACGTTTTCCTCACTGACAGGGCTGATGAAAATATAACAGATAAGTTGGAATGACCATGGGGATTTCAACTCAGAACCTCCCAAATTACTGCTTAGATAACTTATAGTTCCTAAAAAATTGCTGCTGAATGATCGACAGGTTAATTCTGCTTCAGACTGATATCAAGATTGAGAGCAGTTGCTGCAACAAGTGATTTCTTGATTATACCTACAGCCCTTCATTACTCTTGATCTGGGGAAAAGGGCTGTCAGCTCCTCTGTTATTAAAATATAGACATCCTGATCTGGAGAAGCTTAAGATTCGGACAGAAAATTCACTTGAGGTTGAATCTGGGGAGATGAAACTTCCCTTATTTTAGCAATAGATGAGTTGTCCACTTGCTATGTGACTTTATTAGAAGTTCACTAGATTCATTCTCTTGTTTGGGTTCGTAAACCAGAACCTATGGTTTACAGATTCCCCAGGCAGTACGCTATGTTCAGGGCTCATTCATTTCCCACACCTCCTGCAATCTTACCCAACCACTGTCATAACCACTTCCTTTAACCATTTCTCGCTTGTGTGCTTCTTATCTTTTTGACATAGAATATATTCTGTCATCCTGCAGACTAGAAAAAGAAGAGGTAGAACAGAACTGCAACTTTACAAATAGGGGAACGAGGGCTTGGTCAAGGAATTCGAATTCTGCCCTCCCCTATGGTTAGTGAGGTCAGGCTGAAGCCAAGGATATGGTGTTGGGCTTTATGCTGTGAAGGGCAGGTTGCATGTAGGCAGGGCATCCTCGAACTCAGGCTTTTCAGTGGCCATATAGATTACACAGTCCTGGCCTAGCATCACCCCAGTGTGAATGCTAAAGCACAGTTAATAGTTTTTGCCTTTGTATGTGAAAAAAACCCAAACCCTAATATTCTAGTATATTAATAACCAGCTGACAAAAGTTTTGAAATGAAGACTTCCATTAATTAAAAATAGGGCCAACTCTTGATCACTTCGAAACGAATGGGAGTTTACCCAGGGGTCCTTTGTCTCTACAAAGCCCAGAGTACTGAGCTGTCACCCTCAGATTTCTTGGATTTTCTTATTTTCTGTCACATTCTGAATGTTTAATATGCTTGTAATATAGTGACTTCTTTTGTATTGAATAAACACCATAGCTTTGGTCTGTAAATTATAAAGCCAGGAGAAAAAAGATAATGAGAAATCTTCTATAGTGTGGGAAAATCGATTAAATTATATATTTCCTTTTTTCACCTTAATTTGGTCAAGTTCAAGCTCCAGTGATTTCAAAGGATTTTTGCTTTGTTCTAGTCACTGCTCATATAACACAGCTAGGCTGGGATTTCAGGAGAGCCCCCTCCTGAAAATGCATGCAGTGGACACAGTTCTGGGAGAATGTTAAGGCTACCCCACCAGCAGCCAGACTGGGCAGTGTGATTCTGCCTGTGACAAAGGCACAGAACAGGAATATGTTGGAAAGAGAATACTAATGACGTTTTTCTCTTAAATTCCAAAATTGGAAAACAATCCTTCTCACAAACAAAGAACAAGTCAAGGCATTTCTTGTCTTACAACGGAAAAACTGTATTAACACTACCTAAAGAGAACAACATAGTCACATTTTTGCCAATGGATTATCTCAATATCGTCTTTTCTTTGTTACATATGGACATCTCTCCCTTGCAAAGCCAGTGGGTGACTTTTTTTTCTTTGAATTCAGCAAATTAAACTGAACTGTGTCCATGCATTAAATGGATGGAAATGGAAGCTGGCCTCTTGGGTCAGTTGACCCCTGTTCTAATAAAGCAATCCATAGAGACTTTGAACATTTGATTTAATGTGTAAGAAAAAGGAGCACAGATAAAGCTAAAAATGTTTTTATTAACCTTTCACAGCTCTACCGAAAACTGTCAGCATGCACCACTAAACTGTGAAATAGTGTCTGTGTGATATCCATTGTATCAAGTGTTACTTATCTTTTTGAATGAAAAAAAAAACAAAGGCTTTTAAGTCTTACATTTTATTTACTTATCTGGGTTTATGTTTCTAAAACTTTTTCTCTCCCAATCAGTTTAGCATGTCTACATCTACTATCACAATGGACATTTTGAAAACTCATTAGGATGTTGGTCTTCAACCCTCCTCATGCTGTCTAACTCCACTAAATAAATATTTGGTAGATTACAAAGATTTTTAGGGGAAAAATGCCATGCCTTAACTTACAATACCTAATTACATTTTTTATTTCTTTGGATGTTGCCAATCTTTTCAGTTTGGATTAATGGTAGAACTACCTCCATTCCATAATGCTATATGTGGAAAACACACACACACGTACACACACACACTCACACACTAAATTGTTCCTCATTTTTATTACAGGAAGAAACATGAACAGACCATCTCAATTGGGGGGAAGACATACTAAATCATATATCAAAGTTATGTGGTACATACTTGCATACATATTAATTTTCCTTTTAGATCATGAACAGAAAAAAAATTACAGCATTTAAAACGGGACGAATAAGTTACTGGTCACGAGTGTTCTTCAGTTGATCTGCTGTATATGTTTCATTTGTCTGCTCATATTCCAAAGTAAGTGAAACTAAACTGTAGCAAGTTAACAGTAAAATCTAATAGTTGCTATATTTCCATGACTTAGCTTCCTTTTACTGTGAGATAAGGCAGACACATAGAACAGTTACAATAGAACAACTTGAAAAGCACTATACCCTCTCCTTCCCCTTTCAGTATTATTTGCCTGTCCATATCCTTAGTTACAAATATTGAAAAAGATTCACACCTGTGGAGAAATTCTGTCACTATTAAAGTCAACAGCAGGTTTGCCACTGACTTCTGCAGGACCAGGATTTGCAGAACCCTTGCTAACTACATGACCACTTACTAACTGACTGCAATGGGTCTATGTCTACATAGACCAGGGAGGATTTGGCCCATTGTGTCAGAAAGTGAAATTAAAATATATGTGTATAGGCTCTTACTCAAATATAGCACTCACCTCGAACTGTGAGAGTAGCAGAGGCTTCCACCTTCCCAACTCGATTCTCAGCAATACATGCATAGGTTCCTTCATCTGTACTCATGGCTTTTTTAATGCGCAAGGTGTAATCATCTTTGATATCATACCTACGTTACCAAAAAAAGGAAAAAAGAAAAATCATTATGTAGTTGACAACAGAGATGAACAAAATTTCCTACCTGGAGTGTGCCAATCTGATTTTCTCTTGGATACAACTTTGGAAGATAAATTATTATCCGGTGCTTGATAATTCCACCTCGCATTAATCTTCATGACATTTTTATTGCACTGTGCATTAGTTAAAAACTTTACATAAAATTAGTATTGCTATATTCACTCAGTATTAGGGCTTTATTAATAATATCACTCACTTTGCCCTTGATCTTGAGCAATATGATAAAATTAAGCTATCAGGCATCAGTTATCAATATATGACAACTCAAGTTTATCATGGCTTTAAGTACATGAGCGGCATATTTTTACTTGTGCTGATTTGGGAAATTTCTTTTAGGACCATATTTCCCCCAAAAACAATAGTTTTCTAATACAATTGTCTATCTATCATGCTACAGCCCTCATGAACAACACACCAGGTAAACACAGGATTTTGTAAGCCACATTCTAGCTTAAATGTTAAAGAGATATATTAAAGAGGAAGATACCAATTTCACAAAAGTAAAGTATAATAAAGTAATAGAGTGGAGAGAGACATTTTCTTTTTTTGAAAGCATAATTTCATTGTGTTTTTTTTTCTATCTTACACTCATTCTAAAACTAGGAATTTTTCCAAAATGCAGAATGTATAGCTACACAACTGGTTCAGTGTGCAAGAACCATTCTTTTGTATGGCATTTTGAACTTAAATCCTGAAAAGACATTTAGATTTAAATCGATGGAATCCTGCAATGGCCTGGCTCGATAAAATACTTCAGGCCTGATCCAAAGAAACTGAAGAGATGTTTTTGCCTTGGAATGAATTAGCAGGATTTAACTGGGACCATATTGACTTCCATAAGGTATGTTTTATTCCTCCAATATTTAAATAATTTCAATAAATGTTAACTTTGGAATAATAACCTTGCTGTACTCAAATTAACGCATATTCTACACTAGCTGCAGTTTAATGAATAGCATAGGAGGAAGGATCATCATCTCAAGTAAATGACTGGGCTTCCCAGCCCATGTATTCTATTTCCAGCTCCGCATAGCTCAGAATAAGTGATTTAATCAGACTGTGCCTCAGTTTCTTCATGTGTAAAACAACATACAGCTCCCTTTAAGCAAAGCAGATCAGCATCTACATAATTTCCATCATATTTAAGTGAATGTATAAATGTTCTGCTGAGTCAGAGTATAATTACATCAGTTATGGATGTGAAACTGAATTTATTAATACTTGTAAAGAGAACGTCAGGTGTTAATTTCTGTGTACATACACATTATTATCTTTTGCCATTTACTCTTTTATTTTGTTTGCCATTGATGCATTCAAACTATGCATATGGCAAAGTTATTGGGACATTACACAATAGTGCGCTAACAGAACTGATAAGAGTTTTAACCCATGAGTCTTATGTGCTGAAATGCTATGAAAAGGTCTGCTTTAAGTAAAGCTCAAAGTATCAATTAGCACATGATAAATAATCTCACTTTTTTACATTCTGAAGACTTGTTTTTGTTATCTGAGGTAGGTCCACAGCCTATAGAGTAAATCCATTACGTAAAGAAGCCACGTAATTTTAGCAAAATGAGGAACTAGTCCCAACCATTCTGCTGGAGGGGTGCAGGACAGGATCATAAATACCTGGTCACTCCTAGTTATTTGGGAGCTATATTTATATTTAGATGTATATTTATTCAGTATAAAAAATTTAGCTAATGTCTAAATATTAGCTGGGATTGGAACGGGGATTAGAAGGAGAAGGGCATTGCAACGCTTCCCAAAAATGGAGAGCCAAAGTCTCTGCTAGCATAATTGCATTATGGTTAAAAGACTTATGATGCTAGAAAGCTGACCTTCAGTTCTGTGAGCAGCACGGAGCTACTGTAAATATGCATTTGAAAGCCATATGCAGTCGTGGCCCGTTTCTTCTGGACTGCTACACTGAATTATGTAATTTTGCACGCTGAGCTGCACTAGTCAATGGCAAACAGAATCATTGTTTTCACAGAAGGGCAAGGCAAGCAGATGCACCACTTCTTCTCCATCTCATGTCCTATCTGAGATTGTTGATGACAAGTATTTAGCAGAATTCGCAGATTCGTTTAAATCTGACAGGGCCGTGATGTGAGTGTTTCTGCTATGGTTGTTAGGAATAATGGATGCCCTGACTTCCATAATATCACAAAAATATGACAATGCCACCCACAATGAGGAAGTTATTGTCTTTGTTAACAGTAGTGCTGCTGGCAAAACACTGTGCTTAGCTTCTTGACACAGGTCCAGCCCTAAGGGAGTTTGACTTGAGAGTCTGCAATCAGCTCCAGAAGGATATACCTAAATTAAGATTGTTCATCATGCAGATATTAGATCAGGGGAAGAAGGAAAGAAATAGTGCAGAGAAGCAGCCAGCCATTTATTCTGCTGTAGTGACATAATTTATTCATGTATTTATTTTAATAAAAGTTAACACACAAGTGGTTCTCCTACCACTGCCGAGCTAAACCCAGACAGGCAGCAGGACTGACTGACTCTTTAAAGTCTGATGCAAGCAGTCTCAGAGACAACTCTGTATTCTGTCGTGGACTGCAGCTGACTCGCTCCTCTTCGACTCACTGATGGGCTGGTCTTGTCAAGCCAGCCAGCTGCCTTGGAAGGCTCAGCAATCTTTATGCTTGCACCTGTCAATCATGCATATAGTGCAAAGGCTGCTGGGTGAAAAAGTCAACTGCGTGGGATGCCAAGAGGTACAGTTAGAACACGACTGCAACGTTCCACCTGGATATTAATAGAGAAGGTAGAGCAAATATGTCCCTTTTGTGGTCCAATCACCAATTATTTCAAATAGAGATCCCAGCTTTGTTGTCTGCCCGCCTGCCAAGTCCTTAATGGGTTTCTGGACCACCCTGAAGAAGGTCATGCCATCCAGCAATCAGACCAGTGGATAGATGGACTGGCAGGACACTACAACCATCTGGTGTCCTAAAGCAGCACTGATGCAGCACCATTCAGTCATCTGTTTCACCTGCGCTGTCCACACAAGTCACCATGGTTCAATGAAGAGCATTGACAGATGAAGCAGGCAATGAGAACACAGGAAGAAAACCTGCTTTTTGTCTGATCCACAGCAGCCAAAGAAACTAGGTGGAATATGAAGGAATAAAGAAGGTATTCAATGTCTTTCTTCTCTCCTCCTCATGCCTCTAAAAAGCCACAAGTTATTGTAGGTGGTCAACTTAGCCAACCGAAACATCTTTCTCCCAGTAACATCTCCCATTACAAGATGCTTACATGCAGCATAACAAAGACCAGCACATCATCTTCATGCAGAGTAGTGTTACTGAATCTCTAAAATCAGGCTCAGAGAAAAACTCAAAGGCCAGACTCAGAGGTGGAGTTTCTGAAGGCTCTATGGCCATTCAGTTCTAACACCTGAGAACTGGACCTTTAAACAATGAAGCAATTTAAATTATTTTAAAAAATATTTAAATATCCATCTCTGAATGCTGAACTATAGCCCCCCCAAAAATGCTTCCTACTGAACTGAAGATATATTGTATCAACCTTAACAACTGTTTGTGCAACACCAGAGTAGTGCAAAGGAACAAGATCATACTGTTGAATCTGGTCCTAAATTCACCAACATGTAGCAACATATAAGAACAGTGACAATTGTTAGCCAAATAACATACCAATGAAAACATCTGACATATATGCAGATTTTCTCATTTCAACCATGCAATAATGACTGATTGTACCATAGCTCCAGTTCAGAAAGCCCTGAGCAAGTGACCCTATCTCACAGTTCAGACTCATAGTGGTTGCATTCAGTGGTCATTTGTAGCTTAGCTTAATTACAACCTAATTTCTTCATACATTCCATACACACAAAATTTCAGTAAATTTTATTTAGACAAAATGTTTGAAGGGTCTGAGCTACTCCAGTTTTAATGTCAGACAAGGTCTGAAAAAGACCTATTTTCCTTTCTCCTTCTGAAAAGACATATTTTAAAATTAATTTAGCGCAAACTTATCAACAGGTAAACTTGTAAATACTTAGAAAAATTATTCTTAATGAGAAAGTTCAGGGTTCATGCATCGTATTCATCATGCACAGAAAGGAAATGTTGAATCCTTTCATTAAAGGATAAAAATGCACTCAAACTTATCTATGGAATAATAACCAGTGCTTCTACAATATGCACAGTAACAAGAAACACTTTCTAATATTGTATCTAAATATTATTAGCGGTTATCCAAGATGATGGCAAAACTATCTACAATGTGCGGTGGCCTCTAAGACAGAAGTTACATATATTCATTTTCATCTAACTGTTTTTAAATAGATTTTGTTAAACATTTTGAGGTACTTAACCTTTATCTCTACTGTACTCCTCAGTTATCAGTGTGGAGTTGAGAGAGAATTAAAAAAAGCAGTTATCATATATATAGCTTTAAAACTGCCACTATTTAAACATGATATAAAATTACTCCTGTTCTACAAGTAACATAGAGTAAGTCTGCCTTTAATTAAACGAGAAAAAAAGAGAGAACAGGTAAAAGAAAAAAAAACACTGCTGGTGAAGAAATTGTAATAGAAATTGGGTGATTTTGATTGTAAAATTTAGCAGTCTCTGGCACATATGAATGCCTTCATTGTTGCTCGTTTTATTAATGACAGTTGTACAATAGTGTGCTGACAGTCCCTGCCATATAGACACATTTTTTTCTGATATGAAACACTGCTGAAAAAATGCAACCCAATCAGATTTGGCCCCCAGACAACATGTGCTATCATCACTGTACCGTGAATTGAGATTGATTGGTAACCAGCTGTGACAAAGTGGGAAAAAGAGCTTTGTCTTTTTCAAGAAAAGAAAAGAAAAATAGAAAACAAAATTGTGTCAAAACCACTTCCATCTGCTCAACCAAGTAATGAATAAAACA